TTTACTATATGCTGAATGTTGTACATAATCATAGAAACTAAAATCAATGTTATTTGCAACAGGAGACAGTTTCTTCTTTCCTCTAGTAGGCAGAAAGAATGTAGGGTAGATTACGTTATTCCAGTTGGGAATTGAGCTAGGTCAGCTCTCACTGGCATCTTTAGTTAGATGTAGTCTTCCTGTAGTTTCAAATGTCTCAAGGACAAGACTTGAGGTGACTTTGTATTAGGGCCTTCATTCTAGTGGGACTTTTTCTCCTAAGCATCTATTCCCATGTAAAAGTGGAATATTTCTGTGGGAGTTTTTTTGGCCCAGTTTCTTAGCCCGTCATGATCCTTAAACATTCTGTCAATGTCCCACAAGGAAAACTGCCGTGCATCTGGAGTTCTAGAGTCCAATTTGTCAAACCAGCCCACAATCAAGTATTCCACCAGTTTCTCTTTCCCACAGTAGAGTGACTATGCCTATGCCAAGATCAATCCTTAGCCTAGAACTAGACTTGACAAATGCTGTCACAGAAATAAACAGTTGGCCATTCCATCTCATCTAGGAGGGTTCCTCCCTCTCAGGAGTTTTATTTGCCTCCTCACTTGTCCCATGCCATTTTTAAAATATAAGCATTTTTTAAAAATTCTATACTTAAAAAAAAGCCTGTTGCAGTGGAAGTAATGCCTTTCTGCCATCTACTGTATCCTACTGGCAGCAGAACTTATAAAAATTTGTAATGGCTATAGGAAAATCATCAAGCCTCATAGCGTACCAAATAGCTTGGCTCTTTTCAACCTGTATTTATAGAATTATATTCCAATTCCTCAGCTCTTACCATGTCTACTAATGAATTCTTTCATTTTTCTGGCTTTATGATTACATGCTTGTTTTGTACTAGATTTTGGGATATTCTTTCTCTCTTTATCCATAATCACTAGTTTCCAATGCGTTCACAGGCTAGCCTAAAGTGATATATTACAAAGTATACATTTTTGAAGTACTGATTGTTCCTGAATTAATGAATTATCTACCACCCTTGTAGTATATATTATTTATTTTTAGTATGGCTTAGTTTCCATTATACAATACAGAATTTTTAACTATAACCATCATACTTATATTAGACCTCTAGACTTACTCATACTATAAACCTGCAACTTATTATTTCTTACTTTGTGATAGGATCCTGCTAAATACAACTTTGTACCCTTTGGCCAACACTTCCCCATTTTCCTCACCTCCCTGCCCCTCATAACCATAGTCTTATTCTCTGTTTCTATGTGTTCAATAGTTTCAGATTTTATATATGTTGGATGACGTAATAGATTTTTCTATTCTGAACATTTCACTTAGAAAAATGTTCTCATAAATGACAGGATTTCCTTTGTTATGATTGAATAATATTCCATTTTTATACACACACAAAGTTGAATATCCTTAATCCAAAAACATGAAATGCTCCACAACAATTCAAACCTTTTTAAATGCCAACATGAGGCCACAAATGGAAAATTCCACATCTGACCTCATGTAACAGGTCAGGCAAAACACAGGCAGGCTAAAAATATTGTATAAGACTATTTTTGGACTATGTGCATTTTATGTTTAGACTTGAGTCCCAGTCCCAAGATGTCTCATTTTTTAAAAACTGAATACTTCTGGTCCCAAGCATTTCAGACAACGAGTGGCTCCCTCCCCCTTCCCCCACACAATATGTACACACCCACCCTCAATTTCTTCATCCATTTATCTTTGTATGGACACTCATGTTGTTTCCATGTTGGTGATTGTGAATAATGCTGTAATGGATTTGGGAGTACAGGTGTTTCTTCAAGATACTGAATTCCTTCTTTTTTCCAGGTATACATCCAGAGGAGGGATTTCTGGACCACACAAGGTTCTATTTTTAAAAAAAATTTGAGGAACATAAAACTGTTTTCCATATGGATATACCAATTTATATTCCTACCATAATGAATACAAGTGTTTTCATCTATATCCTTGCTAACATTTGTTATCTTTTTTGTAAAACCCGTCCTAACAGGTATGAGGTGATGTCTCTGTTTTTGATTTATATTTCCTGATATTAGTTGAATAGATCTTCATGTACCTGTATGTATTCTTTGGAAAAATGTCTATCCAGATCCTTTGGGCATTTTTTTTAAAATCAGGGGTTTTTTTGCTTTTCATTATGTGATTTCCTTATACATTTTGGATCATATTTTCTCCCAAGGATGCTGTACAAAGATTTTTAGTTAAATGTAATCCCATTTGTCTATTTTTGCTTTTGTTGCTTGTGATTTGGGTGTCATGTCTCAAAGATCATTTCCAAAATCAGTGTCAAAGAACTCTGTTTCCTTCTTCGAGTTTTACACTTTCAGTTCTTACATTTAAGTCTTTAATACACTTTCAGTTTATTTTTGTGTATGGCTTAAGATAAAGGTACAATTTCATTCTTTTATATGGATATCCATTTTTCCCAAAATAATTTATTGAAGAGAATATTCTTCCTGCATTATGTATCTGTGGTACTCTTTCTGAAGGTTAGTTGACTGTTAATGCTTAGGTATATTTCCAGACTCTTGATTCTGTTCCATTGGTTTATGAGTCTGTTCTTTTGCCGGTATCATAATATTTTGATCACTCTAGACTTATAATTTGAAATCAGGAAGTGTAATGTGTCCAGCTGTTTCTTCAAATGATTACTTTGGCTAATCAGAATCTTTCATGGTTTCACAGGAATTTTAGAATTTTTTTTCCTATTTTTGTGAAAATACCAATGGGATTTTTATAGGGATTGCATAGAATCTATAGATCGCTTTGGGTAGTGCTGACATTTTAGCAATATTAATTCTTCCAATCTCTGAATGGGTTCCATGTATTTGTATCTTCTTTTAATTTCTTTCACCAGTGTGTTATAGTTTTCAGTATATAAATCATTTATCTCCTTGGTTATCAATTATAAAATTTCTTAATGTCTACACCCATTCTGCAATCCAGATATTTGTATTTCCTACAATGGCTACTGAGCAGGGTAATCCCTATGACTATTTATTATTATGGTTTATTTTCATGTACATCTTAATATGAATAAATTTCTAAGCTGAGGATGCTAGGAGAGCAGATACGTTTTGTTTCACAAACTCCACGTCCAGAATGTAAGTGTTGTTCTGCTTACCAATTATAGGGTTGCTTATTTCTTTATCATATCCAATTTCTGTCTTTCCTCTTAGATTTTACAGATACCTGCCCTTAAGTAGGAATCTAAAAAAAAAAAACCTTCAGTACAATTACATAGCACAGCCTTGGCCCTTGCATTTCTGTTGTCTCATGCCTGAAAACCTGGAAGTTCAAAATGTCACCTTTCCTGATAGAAAAGTTCAGGAGCTAGAAGGCCAGAGGGAACCTAGAATTCCTCAGCCTTGAATTATGAAAATGAAAATATGAGAATCCATAGAGAACAGTTTATGGAAAGCCAGATCTAGGGTTGGACAGAGAAGCAGAAAGAGAGAGAGGGAGGGAGGGAGACAGTTTTGTGTATATATCCAAACCATAAGGGGATATCAATATTATTCATATTTTTTGTAGATCTTACATAGAAAAAAATCTTACTATGTTTTTATAAAAGAACAAGTAAAAAATCTTACTATGTTTTTATAAAAGAACAAGTAAAATAATCAATTATCTTTTATGTCATATTTTGTGCTGTACATAGTATCCCACACATATAAAAATCTGTATCTCAGCTAATACTATATGCTACGTTTGATTGTAATATACCATATTCACAGTCTCCACAATTTGTCCCTTGGGTAGCATCTTATGTACTCACAGCTTTAAATATCAGAAAGAATATTGTTCCTGACTTGCCTAATGGTATATGCTTACAGACCACAGTAAATGGATACCATGTACTTTACTTACCTAGTGAACTGGTAAATGTGAAATTTACAGAAAAAATATGTATCTAGTTATCACCTGATTATTACCTTGGTTGTAGATGGCATCACTTTTACAAAAAGTTTTCATATTAGGACATGCCCATTCAGCTATTTCACATAACTAATGGAAAGAGTGTAAGCCTATATATGCAATTACTTTATTTATAAAGGAAAATATAGAAATAATATCTACTATCAAGTTAGTCTATTAATTTAAAAAAAATTAGTTGTAGATGGATACAATATCTTTGTTTCATTTATCATGAGAGGCAAGCACTCAACCACTGAGCTACATCCCCAGCCCTAGATTAAGACCACCAACCCCTCAAAAGTAATATAGTATTTTAAAATCAAATACATTTTTGGAAAGAAAAATTGGTCATACATTGCCCAGTACTTTTTCAAGTTAGTTATTAGGAGCAGGAGGTATTCTTATACTTCTTTCATGCTATAAGTCTTAGAGCTGCAGGTCCCCTATGTTGGTAATCCAGCATTGTCTGTCAGGGGACAGTTGGTTTTCCTCTAAGGTTCGGTATCAGGAAACATTTGCTTATAGATGGAAGCTTTATCATCCATCCTGATCTATTTCAGTATAAAAACAATATTTTGGTTCCTTATCTATTAATTCTTTTGCTTTAAAAGTTTGTTCAGAAACTGAATGCAGAAGAGGACTGCTACTTATTTGATTTTTTCAAAGACTCCAGCATTCTTGATAGTTTCAACTAATTCTAGGTTGGGAAGAAAGGTACAATGCTAATTAAGGTGGTATAAATGACAGATATGACATAATCCTTGCTAAATGGTATTCTTTTTTATGTTTTAAGATAGGGAAAACTAATTAAGAGCTGAATCTGGAGAAGAACCCAAGCCTCTTAACTCTCCATTAGGTAAATGGTGTTTGGGTTTTTGTTTGTTTGCTTTTTGGCTATATGCTATTTTTACCAGAGAAAAACTTCTTTCCTAAACCATGGGTGGATACATTTGACAAAACACTAAAATTAATCTGATATTAGATATCAAAGCTGGAAGTTTTAGTTGGTTGGCTCATTCATTTTTGAAATAGCAAGTTACCTTTATAGGTTGGGACAGTGTCCAACTTCCCTTTTTTAACTTGTTGTCTTTCCAAAGGCCGGACTATTACCACAGGCTGCACTTTATAAGAATTAAAATCTCGTTTGTAGGTAGTACCAAGATCAATCTTCCCTTGTTTTGGTTTATATTCTTCTGGTATGTGGCGAGGCTGTTTGACTATTTCATAAGGACGATAATCTGATCTGAAATATATAAATTTGAAACATAGCCTCACAAGACCTTTTATTTTGATGATCTCAGTATTGATAATTTCAGTTGTCTCTTGCCTAAAAAGTCTAAAATATTAAAATGGTAATATTTGATAAACAATTTGAATGAATTAATTAAATTCCTTTAAAAGGTCCTGTTAGGAGACTCAATATCTTAAGAGCAATATGTTGAAAATCCTAGTTTTCAAAATATCAAAACAAGAGATGCTCAATTAATTTGATCTTAAATAAATTAAATCCTCAAATAATTGAAGGTGAAAGGTTTAAACTTGCAAAATTTATATCTATCTATCTATCTATCTATCTATCTATCTATCTATATCTCCCTGTATCCACTGTCAAAATCCTTCAAAATCCTTATTGATCCTACATAAAGACTCCAGTAAACTATTTGGGCATACTTTCTTCTTATTGAAGTCATGTTGTCCTGCTCAGTTTTAGATAATAAGTAACTCTTGCCTTTAGACATAAGTCACATTCACAGTGTCAGTATGAGTCCTACTCATATTTGGATCTCTCAGAACCATTTTCCATGGATGGAAGCCAGATGGTAATCCAGTCCCTCTAGGCATTACATAACATTATATGACAGAAGACTACTGAGGTAGTCTGATGAAATGGAGAATACCACAGATTCAGACTGCCTGGATCTAAATCTTGGCTCTGTCAGTCATTCACTAACTAGCTGTACAACCCTGAATAATACAGTTAATGTGTTTTGCTCCTTCCTTCATATATAAATATGGGACAATAATATCATCTACCTTGTAGTGTTGTTTTAAGGATACACAAATACTTAGGAGAGTACTTGATAAGTAGTAAGGGCAATGTTATCTACTGTTAACTATTATTCTAAGCTTTTACAGACTGCTTTTTTTCTTCTGGATTCTGTATCCACAGACTCAAAAATAACAAAAACAAACAAACAAACAAAAAAACCCCAAACCAAACCAAAACAAAAAAACAAATAAAAAACTCACTGAGTCCCTTTCTCTTATTTCCAATATAACCTCTTAAGGCTGTTTGACTCCATTTTCTCAAATACTTCAGCCTACCTCTTCATTCCACTTCAGTCTAGCACTGTCACTGACCTAATACATTTCTAAGGTTCAGAATGACTTCTATGTGACTAAGTCCATCTGACTTCTTTAGAACTCATCTTACTTGACCCCTGTCACAGTAATTGACATTACTGTTCACATACGGTATTTCCAGGAAATTATCCCTTCCTGCCTTCCTGATTTATTTCTTCTCCATCTCCTATATAGCTTCTTTCACCTCTACTCAACCATTAAATAAATGTTGGAGTTCTTGAAGGCTTGGACTACACACACTCCTACTCTCACCTAACATTCACTCCCACAGCTTTGATTACTACCTCTATAGCAATGACTCTCAAATTTACACTTCAACTTAGTACTCTTCTCTTAGCTCCACACCAGCATGTATATAGCCTCTTGGATACTCAATGGCACATCAAAACTCAATATGCTCCAAATCAAATTATTTCTCCCCAACAAATCTGGTCTTTGTAATTTTTCCTTATGTTAGTGAACAGCATCAACATCTCTTCAGCTCATAGTCAGAAACTTAGGACTCACACTTTATACACAGTCATTCATCAACTCCTGTCAATTATGCCTCCTAAATATCTTTAAATCTAACCATTCTTCTCCATCTTTATCACCAAACCATAATAGTCAAAGCTTTCATAATAGCCTAGTCAAATAACTCCAATAGCTTCCTGAACTCATTTACCTGCATCCACTTTAGGCCATTCTCCAATCTTGTCTCCACTTTGTACACAAAGGAACTCTTTCACATGTGAATTGGATCATTCTTGCCCTCATGGCCCTAGCTCCCTCCTTAGGTCTCTTATCTATCTACTCACCACTGTACTTCTCCCCACAACCCCCAACAAGAAAACAGAAAGGAAATCTTCACTGGTACTTATTGCTCTAAGAATATAGATAAAATAGAACAAGGCCCAAAGGCCCTGCCTGTCCTTCCTCACTACACCCTCCTTTTGCTTTCTCTGCTCTAGCTGTCTTTCTCTGAAATTTCCCACTTTTTATGTTCCTTCCTGCTGAATGCTTCTTTTTGCCTGGAATACACTTCTTTCCTCTCTCAATACAGTTCACTATTTAACATGCTTCAGGTTTTAGCTCATTTTTCTTATATCTCCCCGATAAATTCGAATATCTTATTCTAGCTGTTAAGGTGCCTATCCTTCATAGATTTTATCACTGTTGTGCTTTGATATTTATTTCAAGTGATGTTTTGATTGGCTTCTCCACTAGAATGGAACATCTGTGAGAAATGAAATCCTGTTTTTGTTCACACTGTATCCCAGATGCATAAAACAATGCTTGAGGCTTAACAAATGTTTGCTATATATTTATTTAATGGATGAATAGTAATTGAAATCATGTAACTCTTCTCAGATATCTGAATTGTTCTTTACTCTGCTCAAATGCCAGGTATTGGGAATAGGCTAAAATGCAATCAGGAAGTTAGTGAAAGGGAAAATCATAGAGAGAAGAGTAGGGAGAAAGCTTGGTTTATAAGTCTTAGAAGTTTCTTTGACTACATTGTTTACTTAGTGTTAAAAATTACACCTCCACATCCAAAGCACTTTTCTGTGGAGAAGCAGTAAATAGCAAATGCAGTCTGTTCATCTGATATATCCTGAAACACATGACAGGTCTAAAATCCTACTTCTATAGGGCAAATTTTCCTGCCAACTCTTGTAGTCATCTAACTATGCTACAATTATAATGCCATAAAGAATCAAAAGTCTTCTATAAGTTCAGATATCTGCTCTTTACACAGTCTCTTTGAAACGTATACAATGGCTTCTTATTCTGCAAATAAATCAGTTTTCTACTTCCTATTCAATGTAGTCATCTTGAGGAGTCAAGCAAAAGCTCCAAGCCATTATGCTATGATTCTTGTCTTTCAAAGTGGAGAGCTGATGACTTAAGAAATGTAATTTTTAGTTGTATTGGCATATTTGGACTTTTGAGTTTTGGGATATGGAATGTTTCTTATTTACCTTTTTAAAGTTTTCTTTCTTCCTTCTCTTAGGGTGACCTGAATAAGTCAACTGGGAAAAATTAAATTTGTTGTGGTGCTTTTAAAACCCTAAGTTATAAAAAAAATTGACATGAGTTCCTTAAAAGCAGGAACCTGAAATTACTGATATTTTTATTCTTGATGCCTAAGATTATGCTTTGAATATAGTGTACATCAAATAAAATAATGAAAACAAAGAAGTAACCCACTAAGCTGACAAAATACAAATAGATACAAAGATACAAATAAATAAAAATGAAAAATTTAGGATGAGTGGGATTTTTTTTTTTTTTTCATCACTCACTGAACCTACCATGTGCCAGTAAGTGTTGTGCTAGAATTTTGGAAATAGGATGATAAGAAAACAATGGACATAATTCCTACTGTCATGAAATACTAAAACTAATGTAATGAACGTACCTTGAAAACTTACACTGAGGAATTTTATGTAGACTGAAAACTAGGTGAGGTGTAGAGAAGATTTTTCCAAGAGATAATCACGTTGAGATTTACAGACTGAATGGGTATTAAACTAGGGAAGGAGAGGGGAAAAATTCCAGGTAGAAAAAAATTAATATCTTGAAAGGATTTGAGGCATAGAAACCTGACATTTTATAGGAAACAACAACAACAAAAAAAGGCCTACAAGATGGAAACATAAAATAAACTAGAGAAGCAAGTAGGGAGTAAACCATGCAGGAATTGTGGTAGGAATTTTGGTCTATGTGAAACATAATGGGAAAGTTTTAAAGTATTTTCATCAGGGACTTAACAGGATTGGATTTGCACTTTTAAAAGATCATCCTGGCCAACTGAAGTATTGAAAACAGATCAGAAATGCAAAAACTAGAGAAGATACAGGCCTAAACACTGGGAAGCTACTGTTATCCTCTGGGTGGCAGTGACAGTGAAAAGTAAAAAAAAGAACATGATATATTTTAGGGAATAAAAACAAATCAATAGAACGTTTTATTTTCCTCTTTTCTTCTCAATTTGTTAACCTAATTAAAGCTCATCTTTCTATTTTTCTTGTGACTTAACTAGTTCTTGCTTCTTGGATTTGTTTAACTTAAATCAACTACCTATATTTAATAGCTAGAAAACCTTGTTCCCATCAGAAGAGTTGAGAAAAATATAAGCAAGTAATTGTGCAATATTTACTTAAATGTAGTTATTCCTTCCATTTTACCACGGCATGCTCGAAATTCTTGCTTAGGTTTAAGACTCTGTGGTGGAAGAACATTGCCATACATGGGATACTTTTCCAAGTATTCAGTTGTGGGGCAAGACAAGCCAAAATTTTCATAAATCCTTGTGGTTCCATGTGGACAATGATGTCGCCTGTGCAAACAAACAAACTGAAAGATTATTTTGCCTTAAAAAAATACTTTGTGTGATTATTAATCAGAGACAGACCTCCAATGACTCAGAACACATAAACTTTAGAGCAGCTTTCCTAGACAACCTGTTCCCTCTGCAGTGATGTTTAAAAAAATAAGTATCCTTACATGGTAGAAATATTGTCTTGTTAATTTACAGACCTGAGAAGCCAACAAGTAATGTCCTAGACCCCATGCAGACCAGTTGCATATATAACTTAGGTTTCACCTATTTCATGTACTCACATGAGACTCCGATTTAGAACATAGCTACATAAGGAGAAAAGCAGGGCACCACATTCATTTTGCTTGTATAGATTGAGGTAGAGACAAAGAGAGTTTGGGGCCAGTTAGGCAGTCCCCTGATTTTCAAGGTGATTCCCTGACTTGGCAGCTTTCTGACTTTGGTAGAATTGAGTGGTTCTGGAGGCTACAGCTCTCTTACAGTGTTCTGATTGTGGCAGAGTTAGCAGTTCCCTTCATGGTCCAGGGCTACAATGAGATTTTCAGGTACTTTTCTTCCTTGGAATCTTGGTTTGAAAATGGTTTCAGTTCTTTCAAGTGAATTACATATACTCCTTATATACAGTTAATTTTTGCCTACACTCATCAGAATAGATTATATTCCCCATAACTAAGAGCCCTAAATAACACATTAATGCTTTTAAAAAAAATGGACATTTTGGTCAACCACAAATCACATATACAGTGATAGTCCAATGAGATTATGTTGTCTGGTGACATCATAGCCATCTTAGTTTGTGTAAGTATATTCTGTGATGTTCACACAATGGTTAAATCTCCTAATGATCAATTTCTCAGAATGTATCCTCATCCTTAGGTGATATATGAACAGATATCATATAAACTAATAGGATAGAGTTGTTGAAAAATATGAGGTTGACCTCTATGAATGACTGTTGGAACATGGTGAGACAGGAAATAGTTAAAGGGGAGGGCGTTGTGGTAGAATAGTACGCAATGAATACTCTCTTTTTTAAAAATAAATAAAAACTATGTATGAAAAACAAGTGTTAAAAAATATACAGGGTTTTCACTATAATTTTTCAGTGCACAATTAGTAAAAAAGATAAAACCTTTTAAAAATAAAACTAACAAAACTGCAAACAAATAAAAAAGTAAAACCACATTATTCTGAAATAAGGTCAGTTTCTCAGGTCTGGTATCATTTGGAGACTCCAGGGCATGGGGGAGGGTTGTAAAGCTGAACCGAAAGAAAATGTATATACCCTGCAGATGAATCATGGTGGACAGCATGAAGAATTATAGCGTAAGGAAAACAGGTGGGGTCACAGGATGTCCAAGAAACTCTGAAGTCAGAAGGATCAAGAGATTAGGGAATATCAACTTGAACATGGTGGCTGTGGTAAAGTGCTGAAGTGATTTAGTGTCACACATAGTCAAGACTCTTAGAAGTAGAAGCAGGGTACACAGGTCATGCAAGCATAGAGGTGCTGTTATAGGTGAATGAGTTACAAGAACCAAGTCCAATCTTTGGAATTTGTCATGTTTTTAGTTTTATTTTCCATGAAAAAATACATTCAAATTTTAACAGTGTTGAAGAATTATAAAGGAAAGAAAAAGCCTTTAATCCTGATATTTCCAAATTTTTTCTTATTTCTGCTTTTTAAAGTTTTATAGGAGGCTATAATCTGTAACTTTTTATGAACTTTGCTATATTAGCTTAAATTACTAACTTTTCAAATTTTTACAAGATTGAAGATAAAGATTTAGTTAATTTATACCATTTTCATTCACTTCCTACATACATGGTCATTCATTCATTCAGCAAATATATAATGAGTAAAAATCTCAGTATTGAGGATAGTATTAAGAAAAGATAGAAAATTCTGTGTCTTACTTGAATTTACACCCTTGATAGGGGTGAAGAGAAAAAAATATGTAGAATATCCTAAGTACAATGGGAAAAGAAAAGAAGCAGGGAAGTGGGATATAGTGTGGAGGTGGGGCAAAGTATGACATTTGAACAAAGGTTTCAATGACAGACTCTTTCATCATATTTGAGCAAAGATCTGAATGAGCCACACTTTTTTCTAGCATCCCCCATTTCTGATTTCTAACATAAGAGAACCCCACCATAGTTTAACAAGCATAAAAACATCATGTACGCATTGTATAAAGAAATGCATTAGAGATGGATGGTTGCTTCAACTTTTTAAAGAATAAAATAGATGTGTGAAACTATTAATTTTCATAGTGTAAGTGAAAAAAATAAAAGACTCAACCAGCAAATGGACATTTAGCAGAAACAGGTCAAAGCTTCCCTGAAAAGGTCTTCTGATGATCTTAATCTTCTAGAGAAAGGAAATTTATTGAAATATTAACAAACTTGTTTTCTTGTTCTTTTGCCTCTTTTATATCAAGCAGGTAGTCAGGACCTTTATATAATCCCTTGTTGAAGAGATTTCAGCAGGAGGGAGAAGTTGCTTCAAGTCAACAAATTTTCCTGCTTTTTGCAAAAGAAACAGTTCATGGAAGAGATGAAATAATGCATTTCTAATGGGAGGTGAAAGATAGTTGTCTTTTAGGTCACAAGAGGAAAAGGACGGTCTTGAAACAACCACCACAAAAATAAATAAAAGAAGGAAGAGTAAAAATCTCCCTTCTGCTGCCAAACCGAGTGAGAAGTTAAAAGGCAGAGGAGAAGGGGCTCTGAGAAGGGTGAGGAATTTTTGCCAGTGTCAGTGTCTCAGGAAGTGTCCAGATTTCAAAAGAGATGGTTGAGTGGAGCCTTGTAACTACAAGTTTGTAGCTTCCTCAAGGATTCTTACACACGAGAGTATAAGAATAAAACTAGCAGAGATCCTGCTCTAGAAAGAAATATGTGAGCTTCATTAAAGGACTTTTCAGTGGGAGTTCATACCAATGTTCAAAGGTCAGAAGGAACTCTTTTATTGGCAATGCTTTAGTTCCTTGGATCATTATACTGCTTGAAGAAAATGTAGCCCCCGACACAATGAAGACTGAATTTTCTGACATAAGGTGGGAAGAAACTTAGGTTGATTATAATTAAAAAAAAAACTTCTTGCACACGAGAGTTTGAAGATTCGTATCTCAAAAGTCATATATTAACTAATCTATATGTAATTATAAAGTGTTTATTATGAAAATAGTAGACAAACTGCTTTCCATCAACATGCAGGTGTTTTCCCTTTTAAGGGTATTAAGAAATAGCAAGGAATTGACATATATTTATATAGCAAATAATGATCTCATCCCTGGGTCAACAGTGAAGCTGGGGAAGGAAGGAAAAGAGTGTGTTTATAGGTAGTGGAAGGTTGTTAGGCAGGACTCACAGAGGAGTTCTGGGTTTCGGGATGGGGACTACAGCCTTACCTGTCAGGCAGATTCCAAATGAGGGCCGCCTGGACAGAACGGGAATATGGGAATACGGTTTGGGTTGGAGGATGGGAAGCTGGAGATGAAAGAATGTGTAATACTGGTTGCCAACTAATGGCTTTGACCACTGTTCTTTTAAATAATAATAATAATTATTATTATTATTTATTATTCTGGTGGGGCATGCACTCACCAGTCGGATCCACCGCTTACTAGCCTCACAACCGCCGTGGGCTTCACTTACTGTTTACCTGGCCCAGATGCTATTCCAATTTGCATAAAGAAATTGGAAACTAGTTTCTAGCTACAAAGAAGAAACATTGTACCCTAACCCAGCCAAAGAGGGGGCGTCGCTGAGCCGCCGCTCCCGGTGTGCGGGGGTCAAGGTGGGGGTACCCGAAGGGCCACTGGGTCCCCTAAGGTCTCCCGGCCCGCCGCTATGCCAGCCAATCTTACCCGCAGGTACAGATCTGACACAAACACTTGCTCCTCATGTTTTCGGCTCGCTGCTAGATCCGCAGCGCTCAGCACCCGCAGATTTTTCACCTCTATCTACGGAGCCCACCGTCGTCTAGGCGACCGCGGGATCCCGGCAACTGACGCGGCGCCGGCTTCCGGTGGCGCCGAGACGCCGGCGGGTCAGAGGTCGCGCGTCAGCCAGCCCCGCCCCCAGAACGCAGGCGTTCAGGCCTGCGGAGCCCTAGCTGAAGCGTGCCGTGTTGGGCAGAGAGCCGGAGCTGGTGAGGAGGCCCCCCCCACCCCCCCCCCCCCCCCCCCCCCACCCCCGCGTGCTGGCGGTAATGAGGGACTTGGGCCGAGGGGACGGCGCGGGGAGACCGGGGTCGTGCGCCGACGCGGCGTGCATCCAGCGGTAGCTCCCACCCGGGGCCAGAATTTTTTCCGTGTGGACTTGGGGTCCTTAAAATTTTCAACATCAAACCCTACGAATCTGGGGCCCCTCGAAGATGAAGGGCAGGTGGAGTTGAGACTTTTCATTTGAAAAGGGAAGAAAGATGGGCAGTGCACCTGTTTGGTTCATAAGCACGTGACTCAAAACTTTTTCAGGCTCTGTACGCAGTATAAAGCCGAGTGTTTTACCGCGGATAAAAGGGAGCTAGAATATTAGAACCAGGGATTTAGGGGAAGGGAGAGACGTCAACATCTTCTCTTCCTGCTGCATTTGACCCTTCTTATGGTTGTCGTTGGCCTGGAAGAGTTGGTCAGAGTACGAATCCATGGGTGGAGCTACTGGTGTCACTGCACCCAGCACCCAGGAGCTCCTTGATTCAACACAGCCTTCCCATCCAGAAGGATGAATACACTCCATAAGTACAGTTTATTGACTTTCAAGCTGGTCTTGGGCCTGGATTGGTATGTCTCATCTATAAACGTTCATTTGAGTCTTCGTTTAAGGGATCTGAAAAATCTTTTTCAGCTCCCAGCACTTAAATTTCTTTTTCCCTTGCCTGGACCTTTAGCCCTTGTGTCATTTGTAATACATCTTTTATTTTTAACCACAGGAAGTGAGCAACCATGGTGCTCAATAGTTTGGATAAGATGATTCAACTCCAGAAAAACACTGCTAACATCAGGAATATATGTGTTTTGGCTCATGTTGACCATGGTAAGAACCTTTTTTAAATGGCTATTTTTCATTAATAGACAAGGCATGTTCAGTAAATTGAACCTGTGGGCAGTCGAAGAAGTAGGTCTTACTCCTTTTAAAAGTTTTTTTTGTGTGTGTGATGTCAAGGACGCATATGATATGAACATGGTTAACTATTTATTAGCATTTTTCTATATAGTATGTCACCTTGTTCCTAAATCAGAACTTCAGTTTTTGTTTAAATATGAAAAACTTTTGAAATGACTTTGTTTGTAAAACAGCTGTAATCTTGATATTGTGTCCTTAGAGCCTTTGTTATGTGATCCTATTTAATTCATCAAATATTTACTGAACATCTGCTAAGTTCAAGGAATTTTGGTAGGTATATCAGGACACAGACATTTATGAGTGGGACACCTGTCCCATATCCTATTGAGGAAGCTTTAGGAATGGAGCAGGCAATATGAGAAAAAGTAGACTGTGACCACTGAGAAAACTAGAGGATTGGGAAGCTAGAGGTGGGTTAACCCACTATGTCCCAGAATCCCACATATAGGACAAAATTTTTATTGGTGTCCTATATATGGGATGCTGGGACATAGTGAGTTAAGAAAAGGTTTCACAGCATAATTAATATCAGAGATGATCTTTGAAGGCGGTCTGAAGATGACAAATGGAGACAAACATTATAAGTGGCAGTGTGTCAGCCTGGGAAGAAGAAAATACATGTGGCTGAAGCCCAGGACACTATAAATGCAAGAATAGCTAAGCATGATACATGTGATTTACATAGACATTGCTGTAACACCATAGCCCTGCTTCATGCTAATCCTGCTGTTGGTTTCAGACCCCTTCTGAGTTCTGGTTGCTGAGGCAAAATGATTGGAAAGGGCATGTGAAATAAAACTTATATACCATCCTATAGGTGAAGGAGTAGTACATAGAGGTGAAGGGGCAGGCTGGGTCCTATGTCATAGAACTCTTCATAGCCACTGGGCTACATGTAAGTTAGGGGTTAAGTGCTTCAGCTCTGGAGTTAGACATCCTGAATTTATTTTCAACTTCATTTTTAAGTTTCTTTGCCTTCTTGAATTTCAGTATGCAGCATATGTATACCAAATGAAAATCATAGCTATCTTATAGGGATTAAATGTGATGATAATGAGAATCCCTTGGCAGGAAGTTAAATACTTCATTATGAAAATGATCATTAACATTTTTTTATGAGGGCATGGGAGCCATTAGCAGAAAATAATAAAACTAAGTTTGATATAGTTAAATAGTAGATTAGATTAAACTGGTAGAGTGCTTAGGATTGATTGAAAGGCAGAAAAGAGGTTAGGTGGTTGTAGATCACCTTATAGGTGAAGCCAACTGAGAATGAGTTTTACATACAAATCCAATGACTTACCCTGCTGTCCCCAGACCTTTTGTAATTATACGACACACATTTTGAGGCCACAAAGTCTAATAAGTTGTTTATCTTTGTAAATTAAATCATGTGAAAAGTCAGTGGTGTGCATGTTTGCAGAGCAATTTTTTTAAAATTTCCTCTTTAAAATTGTTAAATGGGTACTATCTTAGAAAACCTTTAATTCATATTCATTCAACTATTTATTGAGTCTTTTTTTTAAAAAATACTGTTTTAGTTACTGGTGAACATAATACCTTTATTTTATTTATTTATTTTTATGTGGTGGTGCTGAGGATCTAACCCAGTGCCTCACATTACCACTGAGCCACCCCCCAACCCTTGTATGTCTTTCATATGCCAAGCATTACTCTGGTCCTAGAGTTACAGTCATAAATAAAGCAAAGTCCCTGCTTTCTTGGTACATGGAAGGAGCATGATTTTCATGCCTAGAATGAATTCCACTTTATTGGGTAGCAGGAAAGTGATGCTCTAGTGTTATATGCTAACACATAACCTTCACATGGCAAATAGATAACATATTAATTAAAAGTCTTCAATATTCCTACTGATTGGTCTCTGGTTTGAATTATTATATGGAATTCATAGTTTTGTTGAAGTTCATGGAGTGTAATAAGGACTTGTCTTGGAGAGAAAATCTTTTCCTTTTGTTAGACCAACCCATCTGTAGTAATTATTATATACTTCTGGAATTCTTTAAACAAAGTTACTTATTTATATCCCTTGAAATTTTGTAAACTTTAGTGGTAGTCTATTTGATAAAGGTAACTAGAATTATATACTTAAAATACAAAGAAGTTTTTTTTTATTATAAAGTAAATTCTAGGTTTATATTTGGATACTGTTTATATATGTTACAGTGTAGATGATTATCTTCCACAGCTTATATTGCAATAGTAATAGATATGGGTAAATTTCCTTAGTAAATAAGTATTAACAACTAACACGTACCAATTAGGGCTTGCATGGGGAAACGTGGTGGAAGACTATTGTTCTTGATGATATTGTTAATGATATTTTAATATTACATCTTAATCATATATTGATGATATTCTGTTGTTTCTTGATGACATATTACCTGATATTATACCTTTCAGAGACGTTGAACATGATTTCTGTCGTTATCATTCTGTACTTTCAGGGGCTTCAGTTTATAAGCATGATTAGCTATTGTGAATACTGGATGACTGATATAATAATTGTGATTAACCTGACCAAATTCTTATAGGACAGATTTTAGTAGCTATAAAATTTGTCAATTATGTTCTCTTTTGGATTGGCATAGTGATTACACCACTATGGAGTACTAGCCTCTATGTCTTTCCAGATGATATTCTGTTTAGAAGTCTATAAAATTCTTAAAATATATCTTTTGTCTTATGTCATCTGGCATAGGTAAATAAAAGATCCTTGCTAAACTAATTATGATGAGACATCAAATTTGTGAGTAAGTCTATCTCCCAATCCCCTTTAAAAACTACATAGATTTTAATTTATGTTATTTTAACAGGAAAAACTACTCTTGCTGATTGTCTTATATCTAGTAATGGGATCATCTCCAGCCGTCTGGCAGGCAAGGTATGTTGTTATGTTTAATAAACACTTGTCACATTTCAGTGAGTGTACAATATTATAAGCTGTTTGCAGTGTTCTCCAGTGATCTAAAAGAGTATAAAACATAATCCTACATCTCAGAATCTATTATGCAAGATAAAATAGATGTTGAGAAAAATAGTTATTTTTATATTGCTTTGTATTACTTTATATAGTACAAATTATAAGGAGTTTTTGTATTAAGTCAAATAGTACACAATTGTGAGAGATTTCACAAAGAAGTTCTTCACTGGTCAATGAATTAGGTGGTTTGAAAGGCACAGAAACCATTAAGTGGTGGGAAATAATGTGGATAAGGCTTTTGTGTTATGCTTGATTTGAGTGGACCCGTTGCCTAAGACCAGTGGGAGAGAAAATGTACCAATGGAACATGTCAGATTGCAGAAGATCTTGAAGGTTAACCTAAGTATCATATAAGTGCCATAGGAAGGCATCTTAAGCCTGAGGATCATAATGAAAATAATGTTTTAGGAAATGAATTGAAAAAGATCTTTCTTTCTGGCTGTGAGTTTCTAGCTTGGAATAATTTACTTTGCAGTAGAAAAATAAAGAGATGTTCCTCTTTTTAATGAATCTAGGATATATGGCTTGCAGGATTTAATCAAGTGACAGGGAATAGATGAGGAGGTGGAGAAGCAAAAGTGAAGTGAATTAATAGAGTAGACAAGGAGAAAGAAAGGTAGAATTGGGCACCTGAGACCATCTTATGAGGTGGAGTATAAGAATGAAGTGCTTGTGCTTTTCCCACCTGGGAACGTAGAACTATAGTCACTCTAAAGTAAGAATGTGGAAGAAAATAATAAAGTTAGTGAAGCAGAAGATAAACATTTTATAGAAAGGATCATGTTAACCATTTTTAATAATAAATACAAAAATGATGGACATATCATACATTTAGAGTGAACCCAAATACTAACTATGGAGTTTAGTGACATATCAATATTGATTAATCAGTTGTACAAGTATACCATACCATTTAATAACAAAAGATATAAATAACAGAGGAAACTATGTTGTGAGGATGGTTTGTGGGACCCTTTATACTTTTGAGTCTTTCTATAAACTTAAAATTGTCCTAAAAATATCAAGTCTGCTAATTAAAATTATTAGCAGTGTAGACAATTCATGATTATCACAACTAGAAAATTTGTTTTTATTTTATCATTGTTGAGGCATATGGTACCTTTGGTCAGCAAATGTCCTTACTGTGGCTCACTGTACTTTGGAAGTATATGAAGTATAATGTATAAAAGGATGTTTGAATGAATTACTTAAAAAATTCATACAGTTGACAAATATCAGCAAGATTCATCAAGAAGAATAGAAAAGAGGCAGAAATAAATGATATTAGGGAAAGAAAAATGCTACAGATTAAAAAAGTTAATGAGGGGCTGTGGCTATGGCTCAGTGGTAGAGTACTTGCCTTCCACTGTGTGGGGCACCGGGTTTGATCCTCAGCACCACATAAAGATAAATAAAGGTATTGTGTCCATCTACAATTAAAAAAATATTTTATAAAAAGCTAATGAGATTGATGGCATAAAGAATCTCATTATTAAGTATAATTGTAGTGCACCAATATAGAATGTATATATACACACTCTCAGGCAAAGATAACAATAGGGTATAATAAACAGCTTTAAATAATCTTAAATGTGATGAAATGTAAAAATGGTAACTTAATAAAACTAGACTTAAGAAATAGAAAACTAGAATAATCCTGTAGTATTTTAAGAAATCAAATGGCTGGCAAAAATCCTTATACAAAGAAAAAGCCCAGATGATTTAACTGTCCAGTTCTCTCAGATATTAAAGGAACAAGTAATTTCAGTTCTACTTGAACCATTCAAAAATACAAGGAAGAAAAACTCAACATCAGGGAATACTCTCCAAGTCATATGAATGGAATAACAGACCAAGTCTGTTAAAGATAGTTCCAAACAAGAAAAATCTCATGCCAATCTTATGATTGTGGATTAAAAAATTATTAATAAACCAAACAGCATTATATAAAGAGTTACTTCTTATAGCCCAATAGATTTAGCTCAAGAATTCAAGATTGACTTAATATGTAATCTTATCATAATAACGGGTTAAAGGGAAAAGATCATGAACAATAAGATGCATATGTTGTGTTTTTTCCAGCTAAGGTACATGGACAGCAGAGAAGATGAACAGATCCGAGGTATCACTATGAAATCCAGTGCTATTTCCCTACATTATGCAAAAGGTAAATTAACCAGTGTTTTAAAGAAAAATAGGAATGAATCTTTCTTATCCTCCTTTTCCTTTTTGAATTACTTGCATGCCTCAGTTTCTTTCCTTTATATTCTATATATTTAATGCTGGCCTCTCAAAATGATCTGTTATCAGAGTCAGGCTATCCAGGCTTGGATGCAGTTGGGGACCTCTGATTGTCTTGAGGGCAGAAGACTGACAATTTGCACTTGCCCCTCTTCTCCAGTGATAGTATGGATTTCTTCACCAGGAAAATCAGGAGTCCTATGCCTTGTTGACTCAGCCTTAGTGTTCCATTTCCTGGCTGGACTGGTTCTGCCCCATGGCCTGTTTATTAAATTTAGAATCTTAACTGTGGGTTGCCATGATCAGTACTAGCTTGTTATTTTCAAATGAGGATGTCATTTTAATAATAAACTTCTGGGAATTTACCTGGAAGAAATAGTCAAACAAGTGTGTGAGATACATGTTCACTAATACCTAAAGTTTTGTATTAATGAAGAGAAGTGCCAACAATCTAAGTGTCAGTAGGAAAATGGTTAAATAAACTGGTATATTCATGCTGTGAAATATGCAGGTGTTATATGCTTGATCTGTGTGTAATTATATAGAAAAATGATGTTAACAGATAAGAAAAAACAAGTTGCAGAATATTTTTTGTAAGATATAAATGCATTTGGGTAATAAAAATATGCATGCAGATAAAGGTATCTGGAAGCATACATACCCAATCCTTCATATTAGTTATCTCCAGGAGTTGGATTATGGCAAAATTTGCACTTTTTCAAAATATTTATATTTGTACTGTTAGAAAACTTTACACAAAATATGTACTTTTGTAATTTGAAGAAAATAATAAAGTTATATTTAATTTCCTTAATGGAGTGGCCTCTGGTTCATCCTTCCTAGTATCATACCTCTGACATTGACACCAAGCCATATACTGTGAGGTGTGGCTGTTCTCTTTTACATAGTCTTAAAAATATTTTTGTACCAAACCAAATTTGAAGCTGTTAGGCACATGAATTCCCATTGTTTACTATTAAAGGTAATGCTTAAAAAAAAACTACCTCTTTCATTTAAAGGGGTGGATATCTTTACTCAGAGAACCAGAGAATGGGGCAAAGATCTTCACATCCCAAGTTGCTAGGATTATAGGCCAGCAGTGTCATTGCACCCAACTAAGATCTATTCCTTAATTTTTAATTGTAGATGGACACAATATCTTTATTTAATTATTTTTATGTGGTGTTGAGGATCTAAGTCAGCTAGGCAAGCGCTCTGCCACTGAGTTGCAACCACAGTCCCAAGATCTATTACTTCTTATTATTTTATAAACTTCAAGAGATTTGTAGCCTTTTATCTTCTGTATTCATATTATTATTCGGTTTTTACTTGAAAATTCCTCTAGTGTCAATTTTAATTGCTGTGTTCTGGACTTTGTCTCTAGTTACCCTTTTTCCCTTTATTCAGGTTTAACTTATATAATATAAAATTGACCCTTTCCAATTCAATTGTCTTTCTGGTGTAGTATTGTAGGAGAGTGGCCATTGGCTACTGGGAGTTGACTGGTCTAACTTTTTGCCAATCTCTTTGACTTTGGACAGCTTGTTGTCATATTGTTTTAGATGTTTCCTAGATTGCACAGAACAGAGATTTATACTAGCTTGGAGTGGGATAGATTATTCAAAAAACATGTGTAAAATGATAAAATATTAATCTTGTTGGACTGACATCTTGCAGAAATTGGAGCCATATTTTTTTTTAATTTTTTTTATTGTTGGTTGTTCAAAACATTACATGGTTCTTGATATATCGTATTTCACACTTTGATTCAAGTGGGTTGGAGCCATATTTTAATTCTGATTCCAAGATGATCCTATAGACTACATTCAGTGAAAGTTTATGGATCCTCCCCCTAGAGTTCTACTGTTGTCCTTTGGTTTGGTTGTCTGTTTATATCTCTTATTATTATACTGTGTAAGCATTTGCCTACTTGTCAAATTTTCATCTGTATACACTTCACCTTGTCCCAACTCCTCATTCCTACTGCTACTCCTTACTCCCTTTACTTTTTATGTTGAATACTGCTTTCTCTCTTGTGTTTTTCTGAGCACAGAATTTCAGGAGTAGGCCATGTGCCCAGCTTTTGCTTTTGTGCCAATTCGTTGCAAATGAATTGTTAACAGGACACTTGGGATTTACCCAATGGGTTGGTTGCCCTTGGTTTGGATAATCACCTCCTAGTCAACAGTGAATGTTGGAGTGGAGTCATAAAGTATCCAACATGTTTCTATGTGAACATGGCCTGACTCTTTACAAGGGACTTAGGTAGGCTGTCTCCATAGTTAACAATGCAGAGCCTTATTTTCCAGATCTACAAAGTGAGCAATATAAGTTGGGAATATTGACTGAAACATATGCTCTCAGAACACCTAAGAGATGAGATAGATTTTCATCTGTACTTTAGTATTGATTTTCCAGAATGGGGCATTTCCTACTATGAAGATGGGACAGACTGAAGGAGAATCTGGATGGGAAGGAACAGAGATCCTAAGGGTTGAGGAAACTCAGGTGACTTATAGACCATGCTTTCCTCTCCTTCCCACCCACTTCTGAATACTTTCTTAGTTGAGAATCAGTGTAGTGAATGGTAAGTGGTATTTTGTTTTTGTATTTTTTCAGTGCTGGGATCAAACATGGAGCCTTGCAACATGGCAGGCAAGTTCTATACCACTGATCTAAAACCCCAGCCCACTTAATGTTAACATTTCATCCTTTCTGTGGTTCTGACTCTTAATTAAACCAGCTTCAACTTTTAAAGTATTAGTCTAGTTTTAACAGATAAACTTACAACAATCATGCATATAATAGAAATGTTCTTGAAAACAAGGTGATGGTCTACTGTTTTGCAGGGAATTGGTTCTTCCTTGATAAAATGGAGCATCTCATCTTTACAGTTGTGACCAAAATTTACTACAAATATTGGGATCATTTTGTTAGACTTTGTTACTCTTTGTATTACACCCACCTCTCCTTTTGCCCCTCCTGCAAGGACACCATTCGTTTAGCATGTCATTTCAAGAGTTAGGAAATAACTCTGGACAATATACATTCTATAAAAGAAGGAACATAGTGTCTTTAAATCCTTTAGTTTAGAATCCAGAAATAGAAGAGAAATAGATTCAAAGGGATTGAATGAATTGAAATTTGAATACTTTTATTTGAATAGTCTCAAAAGCTATATTGCTGCCATTTCTATTCTGTAGTCATTCTTATGTCTGTGGGCACATATTGTTACTGTAGAACTTTTGAATTGAAATGTTTATTTTAATTCATCTTTTGAATATTTAAATAAATTAAAAAGTTTGTATTATAGAAAATTCAGTGTGTTATAGAATATAAAATATTAGAATGAATATAAATCACTTTCAGTTTTATCCCATTATTTTTTGTAATTTTTATATTTAATAGCAGTCAGAATTTTATGTGTGCACTGTTGCACACACTGTGACTATCTAACTTAATTTCCCTTCCAAAGAACCTTACTTATTCTACTACCAGTGCAATGTGTTTAAGTACTATTTGATTAGTTCTTTACATGATGTTGGTGTTAGTACCTCTGTGTAAGTGAGACAGTCTGTGTGGGATTGTTAAAGACTAGAGAGTGAGGGCTGGGGGTATGGCTCAGTGGTGGAGTGCTTGCCTGGCCCTCGTGAGACCCTAGGTTCAATCCCAGCACTGCCAAAAAAAAAAAAAAAAAAAAAAAAATTGAACATTTTTGGTAATTCTAAAAAATCTTGGCAACTTATTTAAAAATCGCAAAATATCTTCAGTGTGCTTTAGTTTATAAACTTACATTTATTAACCTCAGGTATATGAGGTAGCTAACAACTTTGTTAACAGGACACTTGGGATTTACCCAAATGGCAGTCACATGTAGCCAGGATGTACTCTACATATGGAGATTGAAGATATACATCAGCTTTCTGTACCAAGGACCAAATGCAAGTTCATCTTTTTGTGAACATTTGTATTTGGGTTAGTGGTGGTGGGCAGGAGGAGGATTTATACCTGTGTGTTATCAGCTATGTAGATTTTACTCTTGGATGTTATTCTCCAGAGAGTAGGCCATGGGGAACTGACTTATGCCATCCTGGGTCACACAAGCCAGCATGTACCAGAAAATCTTCCTATTCAGATCTTTCCTTCCCTTCTCTCTGGCTGTGTGACATTACTCTGTTGTCCTGATTACTTTATTCCTTTAGGACTGAGGCTAAGAGGGAAGTATTCTATTGTCCCTTATTTGACTAATAAGTCAGATATTTTCTAAGGCAATGAGTACTTTATTTTGTGAAGCATTTAGTTGGTGCCAGGCCAAAGAAAGTAGATACATGACAGTTTAATTTTGAGTTGGGTGTCTCATATGCATGGCTTTGTTTAATCCTTACAATAAGCTTGTGAGATTGAATTATCCTGGTTTTATTTATTTGAAAAATGGAGTTCGGGGATGGGATTGTAGCTCAGTTGTAGAATACTTGCCTAGCACGTGTGAGGTACTGGGTTCAATACTCAGCACCACATATAAAGAAACAAATAAAAATAAAGGTCCATCAACAACTAAAAAATATTTTTTAAAATGGTGTTCAGAGAAGTTAAGAAAGTTTCCCAAGCAAGGACAGAGTAGTTTCTAACGCATGGTAGTAGTCCTAGGAACCACATAATTACATTTCCAGCCTATTCAATTGGATCAGAAGTCTTTTGGAAGTTAGTCAGTCCAGGCCATGACTAATTCCTCCTGAAGATCTCTCCTTTCCACCACAAATTTCTGGGATTACTTATGGACATCTTATTGTGGCCAGCATTACCCACATCCCTGTTGTCCTTGCTCACTGCCCAAACTGTAAGCCATGTGATCTGACCTCTCTTATACTCGTTCCCTATGTCTCTTTGTAATTCTGATATCCCCCTTCACTCTGCCACTACTCCCTTCCTTACTAAAAATTATTCTGAAAACATTCTAAGGTAAACAAACATCCCTATATCTCAACATCTTTTTACTGATGTTCCCCCCTCCTCCTGCCTGGTTGTCTTCTGATAACACTGCTTTCCTTGTACTTCTTTCAAGTGAATGCTGCTCATTCTTTCATGTTCCTTGTATCTCTTGGTTAGAAGATGGGATTGCTGTTGTTCTTGTCCTGATACTGGTTCCAAAGCTTAATTCTTCTATCCTTACCCCTTATTTTCAGAGTCAGTTATTTACCTTCGTTAGCACTGTCAAGTTCTGGTTAGGATCTCTGTTCAGGCTGACTTTGGCACCTTGCTCATAATTTTCCTTTTCATGTGAATCCTTCAAAGTGGCTTTTGGCATTCCTGATAATGACTTCTTCACCAGCTTGCCCTCTCTACAACTGTACTAATTCTCCACTTCCCCACTCACTCTCATAGCTACTTTGTGGATTTTAGCATCACCTTTAGTAACCATCTATGACATTTCAAATTTAAATACTTCCATCTGGGCATAGTGATGCACTCTTGTAGTCCTATCTAGTTGGGAGGCTGAAGTGGGAGAATTGTTTGCTTTCTCCTTTATCTTTGATTCTTCCAGTGTTTACCTGGGTAGTGAGGTCCCCATTATTTGACTTGATGAGGCTCCAGGTTTTTGAGCCCCATTCCTCTGTTCACTTTGCCTCATATAGTTCAAACCTGTCATTTCACTGACAGTCTTGCCAACATCCTCAATCACTTTGCTTCCTTGACTTTCTGTCATCCTCCTTCCAAAAAAACTCTTTAACTTTGATAAGGCTAATTCTCTATATTTTTTTCTGCTTATAGGCTAGGTTGTCACCTGGTCCTTGGGACTGCAGGCTAACTTCCCTTATCTCCTGTTATGTTTGCTTATTCCCAAATAATATTTTAAACTTCTTATCTCTTAGCATTTCTCTCATCACCTCCCCACCTCCCTTTTTTCACAGAAAAGAAGATTTCTCAACTACTTGCCACTGTACCTCAAAATGTAATAGTATCAGCATCTTTGCTTGCCTCCTGTAGTTGAAAAAGAGCTACGTTCTGGATTTATCTCCCATATATGATCTTTTTTCCTGTATCTTCCATCATTCTTTATATACGGGCTTCTAAACATCAGCTTTTAAGCATGCTCAAGCCTCCTTTTTCTTGGAAAAATTTTCAGCTCCAAGTCTCCTTCCTTCCTTGTCAACGTTGTTCTATCCCTCACTTAGTTCTGATGATAGAAGCTACACCTTAATAGTACTGACACACATTGGCAATGTGAAATTGTGTGAAAGATAGCTGGACCTTACTCTGTGACACTCTCCAGGATGATGTGGAGTGGTTTTAAGAAGTGAACATTAATCTTTTTTCACTTCAGGGTTTCTCATTTGTATTTTTTATTTCCTTTCAAGTAAAAAGTGGCAATAAGTAATGAAACCAAGACACTGTGGACATGCAATTACTAGATTCATAACCTATGCAGTAGCTTTGAAAGGTGTACAAGTTCTCAGTAATGTGAACCCAGTAATGAGTGACCAGTGTAGATTGGCATTATATAGGAAAACAAAACAAAATAATCAAACTGAAAAAACAAAGTGAGTAAGGCTAACCAAAATCAGAAGTGTTCCATACTTGGTACAGTTTTTTTCAGGTTGAAGGAAGGGATAGTTTATGGGAGAACCTAATTCTTGTGCCATTTGTGGTTATTTCTAGATCCTTTTTTCTTCCCTTCTCTCCAGAGTTAACCACAACCTCTGTTTTTTGTTTGTTTATCTTTTTTTGTGGGAGTAGTAATGGGAATTGAACCCAGGGGTCCTCTACCATGGAGCTACATTCCCTACCCTTTTCATTTTTTATTTTGAGATAGTTTCACTATGTTGCCCATGCTGGCCTTAAACTTGTGCCTTCCCTCCTCGGCCTCACTGGGATTACAGATGTGCACAACTGTGCCTATTTACATTTTTTGTGGCACCCTTTTTAAGAAAGGGAGCTTCATTATCCTGTCACAACCACTATGATGATAAGATGCATCATACTGTGCTTTACAAATCTGTCAAATAATAAACTATTAGTCTACTTTCTGTTATTGTAAAAAAATCTGAGATAATTAAAGAGGAAGGGTTTATTTTGGCTCATTTGTGGAGGTTTTAGTCCATGGTCAGCTGGCCCCATTACTTTTGAGTCTGTGGAGAGGCAGCACATCTTGGCAGGTGCACATAGTAGAGAAAGCTGCTCATCTCATGGCAGCTGGGACCTGAAAGAGAGGCCAGAGTCCCATGATCCCCATAAAGCACACCGCAAGTGACCTAAGACCTCCTACTAGGCTCTGCCTCTTAAAGGTTATATACCACCTTTCATCAGCACCAAACTGAGGACCAAGCCTTAACACATGCACCTGTGGAGGATGTAACAGAACCAAATTATAGCATAAAGTATATTAGTTGATTTATAACTTATAATTTTATTTATTGATATAAAATATAAAAAGGACAGTAGTAATATTTCCTATGGAGGGAGACTTTGATTACTCCATAGTTAGGGTCATGCACATAATTGTTTATTTTCAAGAAATTCAGTTAGGA